CAAAACTGCAGAAAGCTTATCTTTTCACTGACTTTCGTCGGGGTAAATCAGGGATTAATATAAGTATAGTCACGGTGCAATCACGAAATACTAGCGTCCATTAGATAACAAGTCAAAGTGGAGACATACTTCGAAGGACCGTGGAGTATTTTTATTTTGCAATAGAACATCGCCGAGTCTTTCTTGATGACCTAAATGTAAAAGATCATATACAACTACAATTTCCTTTCGGCTCTGTGTATCTATCATGTAGCTTTCGACACAAGCTGTGCAACTCGACAATCGATATATTGATAAATCGTACTACGGCTGATCACGTATTTCAAAGCGACTACAATCAATGTTAACCTTCCTGTGAATATATGCCTTTATTCTGGAAGAAAGATCGGTTTGACTGAAAAAATCAATAGGATTAGACAAAAATCAAAGGTTAATTTCAGTCTTGGCTATCGAACAGACTGTGATATAGCTTTGGCATCATATATGAGTTTATCGCGTGTTTTTTCCTTTATAACTACAGGAGTTGAATCTGCATCTATTAATTCTGCCATCACGAGCCAATAACTACAATAAACGGTTAAATGACAATATTTTAATGCCATTTTTTTTCAGCCGAACTATAGACCAATAGTTTGTGACCCAACCAAGCAAATGACACTGAATTACCTCACGGACATTCGGTCAACTTTATGAATGTGCACTTTTATGCTGGTGCAAATAAATAAATACGGAAATAAGTGAATATAACAGAATTTAGGTACTTTGAACAGTGGCAGATCTAGGGGGTTCTTGGGGTCCGGACCTCCCCGTTGAAAAATGTATTCAATTTGTTTTTGTATAATATAACAAAATCCTTAACTTAGTCTGGCGATTTTAAAGTTTGGACCCCCCCCCCCATAAAAAAATCCTGTTGCAAACAAGTGTTCCAATGTTCACACCTTTTTAAAATTTCGAGCTAACTTTTAAAACTATGCAACGTGTTTTTCGACTTTCTACTCCACACTTTTGAATTTCCAGCTTAATTTAAATTTGCAACCTATTATTCGAGGTTGCAAACAATTATTTGGACAACTTTCTACCCAAATTCAGTCACTTTGCATCTTATTTTTCAGCTGTCCACATAACTTGTATTGATCTGTTCTGTTTTTCATTTTGTAGAAGGTTTTCACTCAACATTTTCGAGTTTCTGGATACATTTCGCAACTTTATGCAATGTACGTTCCAAGTTTCCAGCTAATTTTACAAAATTTGCTACGTATTTTTCGATTATTCAAACAGTTATCGTGACTTTCTACTTAAATTCTCAACTCGGCACGAATATTGATGTTGTCAATTCCAAAATCAATGTATATGTATGTGCCCAGTTCGAAAAATAACATTGATCATTTCAAACACCCCATAAATGAGGGCGCACTTCATTCAACCGAAGTAATTAAAGCAATTATCGAATTCTTGTTTACTTACAACTACGTTTTTTTTAACTTTGGGCTTGAACAAAAAAAAATATTTTATCAACACTGTCCATTGAAATTATATGTTAGTCTTTGAAAGTGGTTAATTTGAAAAGGATATGAACTCTACCCTTTTGAGTGCAAATAATGTTTCTATTGTACAAGCATATCGTAAATATATATTGAACGATTATTAATGACTTGTTTTTGTTTTTATTATTTTTTGCAAAAGTCAATAAAGTATATTGTATGGTTATGGGCATACACATGTATCGAATAATTTTGTATGGCAGAAGACATGCAGATACTTTTTCAACCAATTGTTCATTTTTTTACAATCGTTCTCGCACTTTGCAGTTAACTTTCAGAACTTTGGAATGTACGATTCGACGTTTAAAACAATTGTTTTGACTTAAATTCAGTTATCTTGTATCCCTTTTTCGACTTACGGTACAACCTTTTCTGTTTTATTATCTCTCTTTTTTTTAATTATAGAGAGTAACCTGTCAAAGTGAATGCCTGTCTTCAATGCAGACCTTATTGTTTTCGAAACTGCGTCTAACCTTTACAAGTTTGTGACGTATTTTCGACTTTCCACACATATGTCATTGTCGATTTTCCAGCATATTTTCACAACTTTGCATCACATTTTTTGTATTTTCTCCGAAAATTTCCAACTTTTCTGATAACTTTTGCAGCCTTGCAATGTTTTGTCATTGCAAACAATTGTTTTGATTTTTTTAGCTAACTTTCACAACTTTGGAAAACATTTTCATACAACTTCCACAGCATTCGAACGATTTAAACAAACATGTTATTTGCAGAAAATATATACAGAATCCAACAGATACTAAATATATTAAAAATTCGATGCAGATATTGCGTTTTAAACACGATTACCGATTCAAAAGATAACATTGAGCAGTTCTGACACCCATGAAATGAGGGCGCACTACATTCGACCAAAAGTACTTTAAACGGCAAGTCTCGAATTCCTGTGTTCATACACCTACAATCTTTCAACATAAGACTGAAACAAAAAATAATATTTGATAATCATTGTTCATTTCAAAATTTTCGAATTTCTAGGCTCTTACAACTATAGCCCATTGTTATAAACACATCATACATTATTGTTCTGTCTGTACTATAAAATACTTTGTTTTAGCTGGATTTAATTTTCGCTGAAAAGACATTTTGGCTGATTCATGGGACAATTTTCACTATTTTTATGAGTTGAATGTACAATATATATGGACAAAAAAAATTTCACTGAATATTATTTTCACTGTTTTATCTCTTCAGCGGAAATAACTCAATTCCTAGTAATAATTAAGTACTTTATAGTATGACAAATACAATAAAGAATATTTACAGTTCTGTTGCCACGACAACTATTATTATAAGCATGTTTGGCACCAGTACGTGTATGCTACCATATTCTAAACTTTCAGCCAATTTGGAATTCTACTTTTGAAGTGCGACGGTACAACAAATACAATTTTATAATCCGTGTTCACAATAAAATTATATCAAGTTAGTCTTGAGCAGTAGTTAATTCACAAGACAAGTAGAGTGCTACATTCGTCACGCCCTCTATAGCCTGAATGAGTGCATGGTCGTCACATATTCACAGTTTCAACAGGTGTCCCAACATTACATACGAGTCAACCATGCGTTGGCTTCAATTCCAGAGATACATCGATATCATCGAGATGCAAGTCGTCACATTCGGATGACACAGACCTCTTAAAAATTATATGGTAATATTATATTATATGGTAATCACCAATTTCATTGCACCGACCAATAATCTGATATTTTCTCAGAGTAGAACATAATAACATTTAAATTAATTCTGAACATTTCCATTTATGAATAAGTTTTTGTAATACAACACTTTCCGTGCAATTTATGATTTAACGTATGTGAGTAGCACGTGTTTATCCGACCAGTTTGTTGGATTCAAAATAAAGGCGCCATCACCGGTGAACTATAATATAAAACGAACGATTGTTTTTGTCAAAGTCAGTAAATAAATAAAACGTCGAACAAAAGAAACAATCATTTATTGATGCAGTTCTGAGGCGAGTAAATAGTGCTTAGAACAACATACGCCCTCTGTCGACAGCTTGGATTTGTACTCTCCGTTAGACGGCCTAACACCTGTCATACTGCAGATTGAGCGAACGATTTTCAGAAAATTATCAATCCGCTTGTGTCATAATACAAGTATTGACAATTTATGCTGTCTGTTTTTTTTGAACATTCAGACATAAAAAAAACAAATTCCGTTATAAGTACGTGCTGCTGCTGCTAGCTACGCTAGCTCCAGTCAGACGGCGATACAGTTTCCGGCGTTCACAAAATGAAATATTAATAATGCTCCAGTATGTTGATGGAGATTTGAGATTTACCGCTGTATGAATACTAGTATTACTTCATTAAAGGCCCATATTATAAGTTCAATAGGAAAACTAAAAATGCCAGACAACTGGTGAATTGTTTTATCCAAACAGAAATGTGAGAAAAGGCAAAGTTGGCCTTTATATGCCATTTTCTAAATAAGGTCAAGTAATGTATTCAGTTGTTTGTAGCACGGCACACGTGCCTCTGCCTTGGGTTTGTGATTGGCTGTCGTTCGCTGTGCAAATGTCACACAAAATCATAGATAGGAGTGTGTATTAACAGCGGTATTAACACGTATCGGAAGTTCTTGGCTAAACCACATCCTCGTTACGTTCAGATAAGCGTAAACAAGTACAGATAAGGTACTGTAAAATGATTAATTTTCACTGGGTTTAAAGTTCGCTTATTTACAATTTCAGGCATATTCTATGGGTTTTAAATTCACGGTTTTATCATTTAGATAATGTGTTCTATGCTAAATTTTACATATTCACTGGGTTTTAATTTAGCGCATTTTCCAGACAGCGAAATAAGCAAAATTAAAACCCAGTGAATAATTAATCCTTTTACAGTAATTACGAGAAAGCGCGGTTCGTTACGAGTTGGGTCAATTTGAAAAGGTCAGGAGCCGTGAGACCATTCCCAGACGTTTCAAATTAACTCTGAAATGTCACGCAATGCGCCTTGTTGGGAGTCTGTCATGTTTTTGACAGAAGAAATCATGCATGCATGCATGTCATTGAACTATACACTTAAAATTATAAAAGTATTCTGATCTGCATAATTAAAATGGTCTATAGGTAGGCTTACATAATAGTAGTAGACATTGGTACGACCTGACGGTTCCACTTTAAATTCTTTTGTGAAAAGCGTGTAGTGATATATTCAATTATTAATTTCTGAAATACAGCTTCACAGATACAAACAGATAAATAACGGAAGTAACATACAAATCACGTATGCAGAATACCCCCGTGTCATGTGACACATATACTTCATAAATCTTTCAAAAGACAGAATAATAAGATACATTTTTGATGCCGTTTTGACGCCAATCCTGAGTCACTCGGGTAGTGTATCTTCAAATGTATTTCCAGACACATTTCTTTTTCGATGTCTTTTTATTTTTTGCATTTCGAACTACTCCGTGTCTTCACTTCCTCTGCTTTCTTCTGTTTTATCAGAACCCATAGAACTGAGCGTTTCCAAACTGCACGTTTTATTGCTCACAGCATCCGTCTCGACAAAATTAGTTCCAGGTGATATCTCGCGGGGTGCGAGATTGCCTAGCGCGGCGCTTTGACGACACGGGGACGAGAATTTCGCGGGATCAACGCTGGATGGGTCAGCCTGATACGCCAGTGCGTTCATAATTATCTGGTCTGGAACAGCTCCACAAGAACGTACCTCCCTCATCAGCGCAAGGGTTGGAATGTGATAAAAAGATATGTATTCTACAAACACTGCCATCGACTCTTTGAGCGTAATGTGTGGGTTTTTCTGACAGTTTCGCGTGGCCCACGATATTGCCGCCCGAAACTTCGACAGTTCATTGGCACATAGTTCGTCACGTGACAACACCAGCCTGACCACGTGCTCGGGTAATGTTGCAAATGCTGGGAGATTGAGCACTTCGTCACCATTTACATCAACATACTCCAATACCTGTACATTGTAGAATAACAAAGTTAAACAGAAAGTAATTTACGAGATCGCGATCATGATTGATGGGCCGGAGAGTTAAGTGTTTTTTTTAATCCCAGAATTGACGGGATTGAATATTGCCGCCTTTGAAAAAATATATATTACTACGTGAACCGTAGACTTATACATGATATACCATTAAACACAATTATTTATATTCCATTTTAGCAAATTTAATCCAATTTATGAATTAGCATAACTTTAATTTAGATGGTATGTCAATAATATTATAATTATATTGCTATTTTAGAAAAATAGCATAATATGTAAACAATACGGGTTTTACTGTATAAGCATATGTGCGTTTAACCACAAGAGCTGTCAAGAGACTGTACACAGCTGACGAGATTCGTGTTTTCTTATTGCTACGATACATAACTCTGATAGTTTCGATTCTGCGATTGAAAGGGGGTTGATTTATTTTGCGAATCATTCTTAAGACCGTTTAGTGCAAGTATAATATATTTGTTGGTTAACCCGCTGTCGTGCCACGTTGATGAACGAAATATATAAAGAGCAACAACCTTTTACTCGATGCCACCGCGCACACAAGGTAGCCTGGCAACTATAGAAGCCGAATCTTGAAGTACATATTTTAAGGAGAGGCAGTAAAAACAATCCATAATGGGAATGGCATAAGCCACGTGACTGGACTTTATAGAGTGGCGTACATGTACTGGGCTTGGGTGTTATAGTAAACCCATATAACATCCAATACTAATAAAGAGAGGAGATATTAGAGCAGATATGTCTCTTAATATGTCATCCACAGATGACTTAAACGTCGCCATAAATGAAGCACGCGTATAAAAATAAGTAGCTTTCCAAGAACTATCAACACTGACACGGCAAAGCCTCGGTGATTCAAGTCAAATTCATTTATTTGCACGCATATTCACTCCCGCTTATTCACCCCTACAATACTAGCCAATCATAACTCGAGGTACTTACCCTTTGTACAATCGATTTAGTCGCTTTGTACTGTATATATTTCTCCGCCGATGAGAGCAGTGCTCCTACGTTATCGATGTTAATACAGCATCGCATAAACCCCATACAAGCACGGCGCAGATCGTCCAAACCATAATAATCGGCAGCATTCATCAAACCTGTAAACAAATTACGATACTTTTAATGAGGTGATATGGATAATAACAAATAATTGTATTTTATATTTTATTTTGATATAGAATATAATTTATGATAAAAATAACCTTGTTTTGGCAAACGATATCATTCGTTCGATAACAAGTGTATGACAATATCAATGTGCTACAGTGTACACGCAGCGCGTGTTCGAGTTAGTGTTACTGTGGGTCCTTTATATCGAGCACGACGCAGTGTTTCGACTGTTTTAGGGGTGCATTAAATGCATAAACATGATTATTAGCAAATTATGAATTGTTCGCCATTTTCGAAATAAAGAAAGGTAATAAACGATAAAAATATTAGTTTTCGCAAAATAGTGGAGATCCATATCCATATTTTTCGCAATCTAAATGGATTAACAACCCGGTCGGTAGATATGATCAGAGGTACATTACTTGGGGTTTGTAACTACGGTGACATGATACCAAGATCCCGTCACAATCTCGCTCTCGCATAAGCGTTCCAACTCAGAAAAATGCGAATGCGCATGCCCGAGGTAACTAGGATACTGGGATGTCCACGATATGACGGATTACGACGGAGAACTATATTTTCTGTACATTTTCGACGTATTACATTTTTCACTATGATGGTGACAAGAAAAGTTTTATTTTTTTTATTACAAACCTTGAACATTCATTTATATGTGTCATGTCAGAAGGTAGCCTCAGTCTCGCTATCTACGAGAAGAGACTTGAATGGGATCTTGACATGATGTCACCATACAGTACTATGCGAGTTGCAAACCCCAAGTAATGTACCTCTGATATGATTTATTTAAAAAAAGAAGAAGAAAAGACAGTTTGCATGTCTTACGATTTATGATTTATGAAATTATGATTTATGTTTACATGTTACCCGGTGAATGTTATAAACCAGGGACGTATCGGCGTTTCCCAACCACCTTGACAACGCCCCTAGAAACCAACCAAAATCCCATCCACGTTAATAACGCCCCTAGAAACCAACCAAAACCATACTTTTTATCATAAACTATAAATGAAAGACCAACTTTCATTTATATGGATGTGTCCATAACAACCATATACACAATTAAAACAACTACACAAATAACACCTTGGTCCCTTCAGAAGGGCAATAGTATAAACTTGAATATTGTGTAGTTCTAATACACAAAGGCATACATATACCGAAGTAGTGTGTTAGAACAAACTTGTTCACGTATTAACAATGATATAGAATAATGGATAACAAACAGTTTTCTTTAAAACTGAATTTAAAATTCTTGTTGGCAAAAAAATGATTACAAATTCTCTAGGCATAACCAAAATGAAAATAAGCTGTTCATAAAGAAAAAGTTGACCGAGCCATCTCGACGCTGGGGATTCTAGATGGATAGTACATAGGTTAGCAGTATATGTATTAATTGAATATATTGAATGTTTTTAAGTTGAAGCCATGCATTTATATTGAAACAATTATAGTAAACTGCACTCTCGAAGCAAATAGCACTTCTCCCGATATATATGTATAAATATTTAAATTTGAAAATGATTTGTTGAAAATACAAAATACAGTAATCTCGGTCAATCTCTATGTCTCGACTATGGCAACGCCAATGTCAGATATGGGAAACAACGACCACCGCTCTTTAATTCCTAAGGTCCATATCCTACCATCTACACCAGGTAACATAGTTCAAATTGTAACCCATAACTGTGACGAGGCATTAGTAATACCCGACGTTCCGTCCTGTAAAAATCACTCCATAACGCTATTTAGAACAAATAATATCGATTTAATGCGATTTCATTTTGTTTTCATTCTAGATCTTGTAAGCAACTTGGTAATGCAGCAGCTTTGGAACTTATTGCGTTAATGACGTCAATCCATAGCATTGATTCACTATATAATGTCATTTTTAGTCTTCTCAAATTACTGCAACCCTGTGAGTAATTTAAAGTACTTTGTGAAAATATGATTGATATTTATTAGGGTACAATGTTTTTCATATTTTCATAACAATTTGCTTCCCAGATTATTATTAATCTGTTTTTCTTGAAGCAGAAAAATGCAAAAATTATGTTGGCCACTTTCAAGTTGATAAAAGCAAAAATGCTAAATAATAGAATGATTTTCACGATCGCTGTTAATTTTTGCATACAATGCAAACTCTAATTTTATTCAGTTTTATCTTCTTCTTTTTTTTATTTTCAAAACAAATAAGACTTGTAATAAAATTGAATCAAATAAAAATACGATCAAATATGAAAGTTGAACAACTAACAGGCAGTATGAATGGTAGAAGGTTATCCTAGTTTTAGATACTTATTCAACACCATAGTAACCAGGCGTTTCGGCCAATGATTCTCCGTCACTAATCTTTTAATATGGCCTGTTCTTTTTTCCTGGAGACTCTAAAGCCGTAACAATAGAAACCGTGCGATTCGAATGACGGATGCGGAACTAGCATCGTTCACAATAGACTAAATTCCAAGATGGCGGCATAATAACAAAAATCGTCACTCAAAACTGAAAGCACCCACTCAAACTCCAGTAAATGTTGTTTTTATTATAATGCTCTCTATTATTATAATACTATTATTTTGTATTGTTATTACATGATAACGTAAGTGTATAGACACGCATTCTAAAGACGTGGAACCTAAATATATTCCGAGAAAACGAAACTATCTTGAAACACGTGGAGTGTGAATGAGTGACAAGGTTGCTGGTGTCTATCGTACACACACTACGAATAATAACACTCCGATCTTCGCGCTCAGATCCGGAAATTAAAGGTTTTAATATTATAGCAAACAAACTAATAACAACATGAGCCTAGCATTAGTGATTTGACGTGCAGTTCGATTAACCTAGGTAACGAAAATGTCAATCAGTATTTACACTTTTCGCTCGACTCAGCGTATTTGATATATACAGAAGTTAATTTGAATTAGTTTTCTTGCGCTGTTGAATCTTTTAAGTTCATTCTGAGAAAATGAACTGTTCTACAAACATCACCACACGCATATTCAAGTGAATGCGGATTCTCATCATAACGTCTAAAATACGAATTCGATTGCGCACCTGCAGCAATCTGAGAATAACAAGAGGTTGATTTATTGCATTGTGGGTATTACCAATCACGGGGCTGCGCGTAATCCCATGATCGGCTAGTCTGCTAAATATCCGACCCCCCCTGGGAAGGATTTTGAAACTAATGCCAGCCTTGAGTACTGTCACCTCAACGCACAATGTCTGGGCCCAGAAGATGGAGGATTTACGAGAATGTTGAACCAGAATTCACGCCCCCAACCATTTTTTTTATTAACTTCCTGATTGATTACCTGTCATGCAAAATGTAATAAAGTTGTTGTTTCTAAAAACAAGATGGGCGACTAAGTATTTGTTTGATGAAACGCTGAAAGGTTCTGTTTGTGTTGGTACGTGTTTACGTCACTGCGCATGCGTATTAGTGTTTTGATGTTTCATCAGTTTTTCCTGTTGCTTGTGCTGCAAAGGTAAAACGTTTAGTTTACGATAAACTATGAATGAATAAGTAACATGGTTCATTATAAACATCTCGGGAAGGGTTTATGCTTCAAAAAAATGAAAATTACCGTGACCACGCCCACAATACTAATCACACAACTGTCATGTCATAATCTCAAAAATATAACGATAGTACCCTTTTATTTAGATAGGTAGGTCACTTTTATTTTCCGTCAAACAATAATACTGTAAAATGACTAATTTTCCCTGGGTTTAAATTTCACTGATTTACCATTTCAGGCATATTCAGTGGGTTTTAAATTCACGGTTTCGTCATTTAGATAATGTGTTCTATGCTAAATTTTACATATTCACTGTGTTTTAATTTAGCGCATTTTTCCAGTCAGCGAAATAAGCTAAATTAAAACCCAGTGAATAATTACCCCCTTTACAGTAATAAGTTAAATGTGCAGTGCATGTTGTTTTAGTAACCGTGATGTAATGAAATGTAAATATGTACTAGTATCATTGATACTAATAAAAATAAAATGAAATAACAACTTGAAGATAACTGTAATTTTGTATTTGTCAAAGTTCATATAATTGGTGAAACTGTTACATTTTTTAACATAATTTTTCATGCCACGAGATTCTTAGAGCGCCACCCTCGTCACTCTGCTTTGCGTTTTCAATTGGTCTCACGCGACGTTACAACGCATTGAAAAAAAATGTTATTACAGGAAAATCGAAATCAGGACGGAAATGTGTTGGTTGACGGATCGTGATATTGCTACCTGGAAAAGCGCATACAAATACTGACAAGCTGTGTTATAATCACCATGATTTACGCCTCCAGTGGGACTAATGTGAGGGAAACACTAAATACAATATATATCAAATATCCCACGTAACCGGGGAGTCGTTCTAATTTAGTTGTTGCTTCCACTATATTGCTCCAGACTTCCCTAGACGTTTTTTTCAAGTGATATTAATATGCTTTAAATAATAAAGTATATTCGTGAAACGTGTCTGTAATTTACTGACTACCAGTATCATACTTCTATGAACAGCGCGCGGGTCGTGTTGACGCCATGACGTATGCATTCCAGTCCCAACGCATGGACCCGATCTGATAATTACGACATCAAATATTCAAGATGCAAAATTGTTTTCAAACCGGAAATGCTAATATCGTGATGTAATGTGGGTAGCCGATAAACGGACAGACACTACGTAACATATTATAGATGCCGTATACATATCACAGTAAACGTGTTATTGTCAGTCGGTGCGTGTTTCCTCTCCGACAATCCACGCGAGTGAACTGATAAAAAGATTTTGTGCGTGAATTTAATTTCATATAATAAATAAAGCCATTACATTTTAACTATAATGTTATTGTTAAAGTTTTAAATATGATATTCAATTAAAATTTGGGAGGTTTGGGAGTTAATGTTGATATAAATTAATGGTATCTACCCCCTTAACCTATTGAATTAAATTTAATTAAACTTGAGTTAACTAAATTCAACTATATATGATTGCAATTTGAGTTTAATTAAACTTCAAATAAATTGAATTTGATGTAATTTAACTGAATCCAATTTAATGTCTTCACTTTTCACATGTTACACATGAAAGAGTGTGTGTAAACAGTTGCTATGGTAGTAATGTACGTAACCAGGTAATTTACTGACCTAACAACGTCCTTGCCTGCAAAGTTACGCATCCCGTGTGGATATATTCAATTAACTGTCGAAAAACATCAGCTTCGAACTCTTGTATGATTATCGTCTTGGGAGTGTTATTGGAAATGAGATGCAGGTTTGGCAACGAGTCGCTTCGTTTGGTAAACATGCGCATGCTCAGTTTCAAGTCGGCCGTCCCGGACCGCTTCTTTGTATTCGATGATGAAGGCATGAACAACATCTTGTGAAAGACCCTGAAAACACAATAATGAAATCTATGAGTTGAAACTGATCGGAGTGTTATCTGTGATGTCGTTGGTAGGTGCAATGTATTGACAGCGTGTACATATACGTCAATCATCTTTGAACTTCAGAGAGAGATGTCACCTGAGAACGAACTGTGCTTAATAATATTCAGATTTGTGTTGATATGTATATTAATACCTTGATTAAATGTCAGGTTCCAGGCGCTTGTTGGAAAATATAGTTCAGAGTAGACACTAAACAATTTTTAGCAGTAAAATTTACAGTTTGGGGCAGGGGGTGCGCATTTACATTTTGACCCCTACGCGGAGTAGAATTGTTATTCTTCCACGTCCTCATTCGAGGCTTGGGGTACATTAATTGGTGCGTGACATTTGACTGCGAACCCAGCCGCGACTAAAGGGGTATCACTGAGAGGGGTTGTCTTACCTGCTTCGCGCAGCGAGTATCGCCTTCACGCCACATACGGGTTCCTTGTTTTCACCAACTAAAAACGTTACGTCACACAGCTCCGGCATGCTGGCCAGAAACTTCAGATCTTCGGACAGACCACATTTGTTCTCGAATCGTGACGAATTGAGACACTCGCTACTTTCCTGTTGATAGTAGTTCGGCATGGTGACTCCGTGGTAGATCTGTGTTTATCCTTTAAAACAGATTAGAGACTGAATTTAAGAACCCGATCAACGGTGGTGTGGCGCCAGTGCCATATAATCTGAGCTTTGTGCGTTTCAGCTGTCGCCTCGTTCTGCCAGTCTGAATGAAAGCATTCACCCCAATCACCCGATATAAATAGAATACCGGCAACTTAATTGTTAATTAGTATTCAGAAGACTGTGTTGAGCGGTGTGAATGTACTAGTACACCTCAATTTGTATTCCGTCAGTATGCTTCCGTTTAAGTATCATTACAACAGATCATTCATTTTTGTTGATGACTGACAGTTTTTGTCATGAGTATATGTCATTACCTTAAACAGTTCAACTACTACATGATCCATTGATGCATAACCAACCCCGCCCAATCCGACAAACCCGATCTTTGAATGAATGACAAGGTGATTTTAACGAGGCTCCACGGTTTGATGGAATCGTCGTAAGGTAAGAGGAACCAACTCCCACAACTTGGAAACTCCGTGTATAGACGCGATAAAGCCAGGAATTGTGGATCGATTCCATGTGGTAATTATGGTCGGTCAATACCCAGTGTACTTACGTCAATCGCACTCTTGTGCTGGAATGATCGGATGAAAACATTCCGTTTTTACAATTTGTTTTCGCAATGTGGTCATCCATGTAAACACTAACCCGATATTGACATCAATGATATCACATTAATTAATACCTATGGCGTAAACGTATAAAGAAGGTACATGGTATGCACCTGGACAGTCACACTTACTTGAACATGAGGTCAATACAGGAAGAATGGAGAGGGGGCAATGTTATAGCGTTAACTTTTGTTTGACCCACTATTAACAAGATAGTGTAAATAATTTAATTTATTTTGACATTGATTTATATATATAATATAATATATATATATATATATATATATATATATATATATATA